GGATATGAGTTGAATAAATGAGCATGCAACTTGCAAATAGCACTGGTTGGTGTAAGGCTAACCAAACCTCTGCAGCCTCTTTTATCAGGTAGTCCGTACATACACTTACATCATCAATTTTGATTTGTACAGTTAACGAACGAAGCAAGCATGATTACCAAAACTTGGGGGTGATAACAGCTTCATCTGTCTATTTAAAGAAATCGACAGTACGCTGAGCGTGGTGTATATATTTCCCGCCGGGGATATTGATGCATGTTAATTATGTTAACTACTGCCGGCTTCCATGGTTGGATTTCGTCTGAAGTGACAGCTGGTTGGGTAGTAAGGTTACCAACTCGACTGCTCAAACACGGAAGCCTTCCCTTTTGTTCCTCCAAACAGTAGGAAGCTAAGTCTTCTCTGAAAATGTATTTCTCACAAGTTGTTTCGTCTCACAAGCAAAAAGAACCGCGAACAGGTGATCCTACTCGCCTCTCAAACGGATCTTCTGTAAGGCTTTGCAGGAGGTTCTGTCTGCCGCTCAGGAGCCTCACTCCATCGAGACAGTCCCTGTAAGCAATCAGCACGTTCGTAATGGGCAACAAAGGAAGAACCCACGATGACTGCAGGACGGATTTCATCCGGAACAATGTGGTACTTTATGGGGAAAATAAAACAGCAAACCGAACTGAACAAACTGGACAATTTTATTACAGAAATAGTCCTCAAGGATTATTCTGTGACCGAATGATGTCAGCTTGATCAGCCGCAGGGGGAATATAACAAAAAACTAATAACGGTAAGTATAGGACTTTATCTAATCACAAGTGGTTAGAGCGCGAATCTACTGACCGGAAGGTCCGTGGTTCGAATCCGACCTCCGCCACTCGACTTCCCCTGTCTAGGCTTGGGCAACCTGGCAGTATCCCAGCCCTCGTGCTTCCTTCGGGTGGCGTGGCAGCTAGGCACCGGAAGGGTGCTACAGCTGAACGCTTTTAATCACACCACTCGAAGAGATGCCCAGGTACGGCAGTGAATCATCGGTGTTGAACACTGATGTCATGCTGTCGATGATGATGCCCAGGTATTCGGTTGGCGCTTATATTTGCGAGGGAGAAAGTGTACATCCCCTTTTCCAAAACAAAACAACCGGCACCATAGGTGACTTTTGTGGACTGATACTAGCTGACTTACCATATAAAACTGCGAAACACAAAGTATCTTCGGAAAGTTAGAGAGAATTATGCCATTTTAAGATGTCCTCCGGTAAACGCGATATTGAAAACAGAAATAAGCAAGAGCCCAGTTTTATTCACAGTTCAGGATAGCCTTCATATCTTTATTACACCACTACGGGCGCCATGAGAGAAATGTAGTCCTCCTTAACTGATGCGATGCTCCGTGTCCACAAATCCAACAAACCTCTAAACAGACACCATTGAAACATCAGGTGAGGAATCCAATTTACTCCGACACAGATAAAGTCATAAGATGGTACCGAGCTCACACACCTGGAATACCAATGATCGGGATACTGGCATCAATAGACCCTTCAAAAAGCCATTTCATTGTGCATCGATACTTACTTTGAACTACACTGCTAGGAAATTTATCGTTTCTCAGTGTGCAATTAGGGCGTTATATGAGAGATATATAATTCAAGCGCGCCCGCAACCCCTTTCGGAATCCGAGCCGCTTGCTCTATTGTCTGGACACCCTATGGATGCCCTGCACAGGGACACACATGAACGCGTACCTTCCACCTGAAGTGTGATTCATGGATGATGACTCCATTCGTCAATTTCAGATTACCTAGTGTCGGAAATTGGCCGAAGGCGAAAGCTTATTGCAACTGTCAGACGGGTTTGGACGGATAAGTGATTTAAAGCGAGAGACAACCGAGAAACACGCTTGTTTTCGAAATTACTGCGAAGACGGCAAGTGCGAAACCCGTGTGCCTTGAGTAGGCCGGTCAAACAGTCTTCGTCGGGCTAAAGATTAAAAACATCGGTCGTCAATTCGACCAATTACCGGCCGGCCGCAACAAAAATGAAGCGAAAAGTGTATCTCAACAATTGAGCTGTGAACGAACGACCTGCACACTCCTCTGTGACGAAAACGAACACCGATTCGTCAGTAAAAGCAAGTCCTAGGATTGAGCTCAGGCTGCATTCATCTGAATCCACAGCAAATCTGCCGGTTCTTTTTCAAACTTTTTCGTTCAACCGTCTGTGAATACATACACAACAACCAGATGAATACACGTCCGACTGGTTAGGAATTTCTATGATCATCATTTTGATCTAGGTTTTATGCCGCAAGTGAAGTTAATCTAAGCTGAAAATCGAAAAGGACTGTAGGACTGTCATCTCTTTCGGAAATCACCAGAATTACGCATTACAAGGGACCATAAAGCAATCAGTCCCTTGAAACACAGTACATTCACCCACAAGCAGCTGGTTGATAGGGTAGAAAGCTTCCATCAACGAAGCATATGGCACAACTAACCGCACCATATGCATTTGTACATTCACATCCATAAGGTATAATTATTGCGGTTCAGATATTGAGCATACTTTGGGATGTACGAATCCAGTGGTGGAAAAAATGGTTAAAAGCAATATGTATCGATTACACTGCAATACCATTCTTACAGTACTGCAGTTCTGACTTTAACTGATGCCGCAGCTAGTCAGCGCTTGCTCGAGATGCTGCCACATACAGGTCGGTAGTGGTACCAACACTGTCAGTTTCTATCAGGTGGTCAGAGAAAAAAAAATTTTTTAGATCGTTTAGCTGTAGCATCCTTTCGGTGTCTAGCTGCTATGTCACCAGAAGAAAGCATGAGGGGTGGGATGCTGTCAGGTTGCCCAAGCCTAAGCAGGGGAAGTCGAGAGGCAGAGGCCGGACCTTCCGATCAGTAGATTCGCGCACCAAACAGTTGAGCCATCTCGCCCAGGTGATCGAACTGAGCGAAAAGGGTTGCACACAATTATTCTGCATCCTCGGCTGGATAATGCTGAGTAGTTGAAGCAAAAAACTGGCGACAAAGTAGCCAGTGCTGTGCATAATTGTGAACCCTATCCGAAGTAACTGGACTACATGCACTAGAAAGGTCGCCATCAGCGAACTGAATGGTTAACTAGCGAACAAAACAAAACGTACTTCAGCGATATTGTTCCTCTAGCAATGAAAGTAGGGATGGTTAGGCTTCGTTCTGTCCGGTCTGATGGGGATTCTGAGCATTACCAGCATGTTTCAGGTCATTAGTCTATGGAGTTCCCTTCATGCGCTTATCTCCAGTCGGTCTGTGTAGCACTTAATAATGCCATAGCCTGTCATGTTGATCATGACACAAACAGGCAACCAGCAATTCGAGTAGCACATAGGGGATTATCAGGCAGCATGCTTTTACAATGCGTGTTTGCCTTCGTCAAAGGCTATCGCGTTTCTGGTCTCCAAATGATGTACGATCTGGGTAGCCACTATTAGGGTTTGTCACCGTGCATAGCGCTGGTCACACCAGAACCTAAAATCCGGATATCCGACACGCGAAGCGAGTGTGTTACCACTATTCCACTAAACGCACTAGATACACATGAATTATCACGTCTGGATGATAAGACTTGTCCACACTTGAGCGTAACGATGGATTTACCGCACGCCTTGAAGGACAAAACAATAAGTGTTCCGATTGTGCCAATCGACTGGCCATCATGCCATGAATTACCAGTCAGGTAGCTCCACGGACGCCTGGAACATGGTTGACACGTTCTGATGAGTGGTTGCGTGAATTGTACAATCAGTGCTCACCAAAACTTCACACCGTCATGGTTCTGTTTCGAAACACTGACTGCTAACTAGCGGTCTTGATCTCGACCTAAATTAGGACCTGTGGGATTCGCTCACACACCGAGTGTATGAGCGCGTGACAGCACGAATTAGGTAGAGGGCTGCGCTCAAGCCATCACTCAGCGATCCAAAGTTCGACAAAACGTTGAAGAATCTGGAGGTAAAGTGATCAGAGGGAACCGTTCTCACATCTCCCGAAGATGAGACCTCAATAGCCCACTTTCTGTATGCGCATAGTTTATGGGTACAACGGCGCCCGTTGACTGTTCACTGAAGCCCATCAACGCGACCAACCAGAGGATATAGTGAGAAGAACGGAGGCACAATGATTACGTTACGAGGTGACCGAAGCTATTCCACGTGCATTTCCCTTACAACAAGCCTTTTGTAAATACGGATGTAATGACGTTCGAGGCATCAGTTATAATCACTTTTCGGAGTTAACGAACGTCTAAGAGAAAACTATTCTTAGACAGTTTTCTGATGTTCTATGCAGTTTAGCACACCAGGCCGACTATCGCCTAAAAGATTAGGATTAGTGTGGGCTTTTTATATCAGGCTTCAGCTTGAAGGAGATCACTTTAGCGCAACCAACCGACACAAATTACGTGCTGTAATCGTACGTGCCCAAGCATCCAACGAATCCTGCTGTCATCAGCGAGACAAGTCAATATCCGATGCGCCCAATCTCTCTGCCGCACACGTCGTGTGACGGTTCACATGCAGTTGCAGTGAGACATATATTAGCAGAACAGATAAGTTGTGTGGACGCTTCTCAGGCCATTTGCATCTTTATTTGAGTAAGGTGACGAATCGACCAACCGACGACCTGCAAGCTGAGACCCGACAACCTGGCTCATCGATCGCCAGACATATTCCGTCCACTCGACACAGAGGCGACTCCAATAGAGAGCCCAGAATTCCACTCCACAGTGTCAACCTTAGCTTTCAGTGATGTCAGGTTTAACAATTAACACCAACCCAGCTAATGCATACGAAAGACACTGATACAAGCTATCAGCTTTCCTTCGATTCAACAACTGGACTGAATTTGCCCACTATACGAGTGGCTCCGTTCCAGTCTTCTCGCTGTTTATGTCTCATCACGATGCAAAGTTTATTTTTAATATTGGGAATGAAGAGACAAAAGCCGAATATCGACATTCCGAATTCATTGTCTTGTTTTTGTATTATTCAAGTGTGAGATTGGTTGGCATATGCGACCACTCACGAAAATCAAGCCATCAGCGAGCATGCGCTTTATTTCATGACAACATAGTGCAGCAATGACGAAATGTAGATGCAAGCCCGGAGGCCTGAAAGCAATTAGGACTGTGGATGGAACACATGTTTCTGAACGAATAGCGAAATTTGCCAATGAGTAGTTCAAGTAAAGTATAACATAATTTGTAATGAATGGAGTTTGATAACTAATGAATGATGACGCGATGGAAAGCAACACTCAAAATTGTCGATCAGGTAGAATAATTGGTGCAACCATGGTCCACAGGTATAGCAACAAGCATACCCAACTGCTCACCATCCGCACCCAGTAACTAGCGACGTTGGCGGAGAGTGATTTTAGGTCGTTCTCAGGTTTCAGCCAGTTGGTCAACATCACCATCACGTACAGTGTTGCCAACAGTAGCATGAAGTGGAACATGGAGTAGACATAGGTTACTCTGTTTTCTTCATCATCCCAAACAACTTGCTTTCCTTTCTCCGAATCTGTAAGAGGACCAGTGTCATTCAATGCGACCGAATCAGGACCCTGAATTGAAGGACATGAAAGATAAGGTCGCTACTTTTATAGGGTAATAATGCGTACAAATAAAGTAGCAAAAGCGGTGTGAATATGAACGGTAACAGTCTCGGATCTCCAAAGTTAACCAAATTATACAGAAACATGAACAAAAATTCTCCTGAAAGTAGATAGGTATTCAGTACCAAACTGCTGATATCCTCTGATTAACTTTGTCCAGCTACAAGCACAACTAAGTTGAAAATGTGAGCTCACGGTGAATAGTGGTATGTATAGTGCGTAGCAGTTCATGAGCGAAAACCACCGAAAAAGCGGTTCGGAAGATAAAGGTTTGCCCTATGCTACGCACTACTTGCGTTGTACGTATGCTTTCAGAATTATCTACTTTTGTGGTATTCGAAATACATGAAATAGGGAGTAGCCTACGATTTGTAGGACTTCTCAATCATGTTTACGCAACAAAAAGGTGACAACCGGATTACTGACGACTGAAATCATCAGAATAGTGGCCCCTTCAAAGAAAGTCACTCACGAGGAGTGTCGCAACTTGTCTTATTAGTGGATAGTTCTTCGCGGGAATTATTGTGCCCAGCGTACAAACAAATCCCTACATACAGACCTTAATTTCTGATCACAAAAAAGTCGTTCAGTTGTAGCACCCTTTCGGCACCTAACTGACATACCACCCGAAAGAGGCACGAGGGCTGGGATAGTGCCAGCCTAGACAGGGGAAGCCAAGAGGCAAAGGTCGGGTTCGAACCACGGCTCTTTCGATTTGCGCTCTAACCATTGAGCTATCTCGCTCCTTCTTGGTGATGATATTACAATGGAACACTGAGACTAGCGTCATGATAGCGTAGTCCTCTCATACCAAATTTCCAATACAAGAAACATCCTCCAACTGAGGACAACTGTTCGTCCATGAGAAACTTCACAA